CTGTACGCAGGAGGAAGTTTGAATCGGACTGTCACCGGACTAAGGACTTTGGAGACAGTAAACGGGCCAATGAATTTGGGAGCTAACTTGTTAGAAACGGAGAGGAGCGGAATGTTCTTGGTTGAAAGCCACACTTTTTGACCAACAACGTATACGGGAGGTTTTGACCGGTGGCGATCGGCCGTAACCTTGGTGCGCACCCCCACCTGGAGCAGAGTCTCGCGGGCTCTGGTCCATGTGCGGTGGCACCTCTGGACAAAGGCATGAGCAGAGGGGACCGCGACTTCTGATTCCAGGCTAGAAAAAATGGGTGGCTGGTACCCTAAACTACACTCAAACGGAGAGAGGCCCGTAGATAACACTGGTAACGAGTTATGTGCGTACTCAACCATTGAAAGTTGCTGGCTCCAGAAGGAGGGATTCTTAGACACCAAACTTCGTAACACTCTCTCCAAATCTTGTTTGGCTCTCTCGGTTTGGCCATTGCTTTGAGGATGATAACCCGAAGACAGACTGACAGTCGCTCCCAGTAATCTACAAAACTCCTGCCAAAATGTGGACACAAATTGGGGTCCCCTGTCAGAAACCACGTCCATCGGAAGGCCATGTAAGCGAAAGACGTGATCTATGACAGTCACCGCTGTCTCCTTGGCAGAGGGTAATTTGGGTAAGGGAATGAAATGAGCCGCCTTCGAGAACCGGTCCACTACGGTCAAAACGACCGTTTTGCCCTGGGAGGGCGGTGATAAAATCTAGCGCTATGTGGGACCAGGGTCTCGAAGGGACAGACAGCGGTTGGAGTAACCCATCTGGGGGTCGACTGGAAATCTTACCAGTGGCACAAATCGAGCAAGCCAAAACAAAATTCCGAATGTCGCGAGCCATCAATGGCCACCAGAATCGTTGCTTGACCAAAAAAACTGGTGAGGTTTACTCCTGGATGACACGCCTCGCTGGAGCAATGACTCCATCTAATAACGTCGGACTGTAACCCTTCCGGCACAAACAAGCGACTTGGTGGACAACCGGGCGGAGGCATTACCCCTTCTAAGGCCGTCCTGACCTTCCATTTGACCTCCCATGTGAGTGTGGAGATAAATAGTGTCTCGGGAGTAGATGGGCATTCGGATTGATCAAAAATACGAGATAAAGAATCGGGTTTGATGTTCTTGGAACCCGGGCGGTACGACAGGGAAAAATCAAAACGGCAGAAAAAAAAGTGCCCACCGAGCCTGCCCGGAGTTGAGTCTTTTAGCAGATCTAATATATTCCAGGTTTTTGTGATCGGTCCAAACGATAAAAGGTACCCCCGACCCTTCTAACCAATGACGCCATTCCTCTAATGCTAACTTGACTGCCAACAACTCTCTGTTACCAATGTCATAGTTACATTCAGCAGGTGATAAACGATGGGACAAAAACGCGCAAGGGTGCATCTTCTCTTCTGTGGAAGAGCGTTGGTAGAGAACTGCACCTACCTCTACCTCTGACGCATCGACCTCAACCATAAACTGACGTGAAGGATCAGAGGAACTCAGGATGGGAGCTGAACTGAAGCGGCTCTTTAGGTTAGCGAATAAAGCCTCGGCTGTATCGGACCACCTGAACTTCGTTCTGGGGGAGGTCAAGTCAGTCAGAGGAGAGGCTAGTTGGCTGAAGTTGCGAATGAATCGCCGATATAAATTGGCAAACCCCAGAAACCTTTGTAGGGCCTTACGGGAATCTGGGCTTGGCCAATCTACCACAGCCTTAACCTTGTCAGGATCCATACACACTCCCTCAGAAGAGATGATGTAACCTAGGAAAGAAACAGACTGTGCATTAAAAGCGCATTTCTCCGCCTTGACAAAAAGCCCATTCTCTAGCAACCTCTCAAGCACTCGTCTGACGTGCTGAACATGTTCCTGGAGAGAAGAAGAAAAAATCAATATGTCATCCAGGTAGACATATATGAACTGGTCTACCGTATCTCTCAGCACGTCATTGACGAGTGCCTGGAAGACCGCTGGGGAGTTGGACAGCCCGAATAGCATAACCAAATATTCAAAATGGCCCCTGGGGGTGTTAAATGCGGTTTTCCATTCATCACCCTTCCTGATGCGAACCAAATGATATGCATTGCGTAAATCCAATTTTGTGAAAACCGAGGGTCCCTGCAACCGGTGAAGGCTGAAGACATCAACGGCAAAGGGTAAGTATTCTTTACCGTGATGTTGTTCAACCCTCGGTAATCAATACACGGTTGCAGAGATCCATCCTTCTTTCCTACAAAAAATAACCCCGCCCCCGCTGGAGAAGAGGAAGGGCGAATGAACTCTGATGCTAGAGAATCAGAAATGTATTTCTCCATGGCCTCCCTCTTAGGAACCGAAAGAGAGCATAACTTGCCCTTAGGCAGAGACATACCTGGCAGAAGATCTATAGCACAATCATAGGGACGATGCGGAGGAAGAGAAGCAGCCCGAGACTTACTGAACACTTCCTTCAGGTCGATGTACTCCGCCGGCACTTTTGACAAAATTCACCGACTCCTCCTGCAAAACAGAACGGGACACAGATGAACAAGCAGACACTAAACAAGATGCATAACATGTAGTACTTCAGGCAGAGACAGAATTATGACCCCAGTGAACCCTGGGGTTGTGCTGTATGAGCCAGGGGTAACCGAGGACAATGGGAATGTGAGGGGAATCTAGGAGCAGAAAAGAGAGTTCCTACGTGTGGTTGCCTGATGTGATGAGTGTCAGCCGATCGGTAGTAAGTGTAATGGCAGGCAGTTCTTGACCGTTTAGTGCATTGACTGAGATCTTGTCAGTGAGCGGAATGATGGTGATTTGCAGCTTACGTGCCAAAGTCAAGTCCATAAAGTTTCCCTCCGCTCCAGAGTCCAGAAGGGTTTGACATTGGTGGAATCGGGTTGCCCATTGCAGCTTCACCGGAAGGAGAGTAGAGGAGGTCTTGTGAGTGGAGATCCCGCCCGACAGTAGCCTCCTGTTTACTGCCGAGCCCAATCTTTTATGGGGCAGGTGTTGAAAAAGTGGCCAGCTCCTCCGCAGTAGAGGCATAGTCCCCGGGATCTCCGTCTCTCTCTCTCCTCCCGGGAGAGCCGAGCTCTACCCACCTGCATGGGCTCGTGATCGAATATGGGGCTGATTGTATCACCGCCACTGGCTTGGGGAAGCTCGAAGGTTCCAGGAACCAAGGTAGTGCAGGTTCGCTGCTCCAACCGATGAAGGCGAGCGTCCACTCGCAGAGCCAGCTCAATAAGTCCATTAAGATCCTTCGGAAGGTCCAGGGTATAAATCTCCTTCTGGATATGTTCAGCCAGCCCATTCAGGAACATGTCCCACTGTGCCTCCTCGTTCCAGTGACACTCTGCGGCGAGGGTGCGAAATTCGATGGAATAATCGGTGACTGATCGGTTCTCCTGGTGAAGATCAGCGAGTTGCCGCGCCGCCTCTCTTCCCGCGACCACCCGATCGAACACCCTGTTCATCTCTTCCGAGAGTGTCTGGAACGAGGAACAGCAATGATCTTGGTTCTCCCACACCGCCATTCCCCACAGAGCCGCACGCCCCGATAAAACCGTGAGTACGAAAGCCACTTTAGCTTGTTCCGTGGAAAAAGTCTGAGGTTGGAGGGCAAAGAACATGGAACATTTTGTCAGGAAGGCTCTGCAAAAGTTCGGTTCACCTGAATAACCCTCAGGAGTAGGTAAACGTGGCTCCAATTGACGACTGGGTGTAGGAAGAGTGGGGGGAACCGGCAGCGGGGGTGGCGCAGTGGGAGTTGCTAGGTGTTGAATCTGCTGGGTGAGCTCGGACACCTGCGCTACCAAGGCTTGCGCCGCGCGACCAGTCACAGCTAGGTTTCCTCCTGTTGGTCCATCCGAGCGATGATGCGAGACAGGAACTCAGCAAGCTCTGGTGTTCTCGCTGCATCCATGACGGTCAGATCGTTCTGTGATGGTAAAATGAACAGAAGATGCAAGTGCGAGAAAACTGGTTTATTGACGATGTAACAGGATAATGATCAGATGAGTGAAGTAACCGGAACAGTCTCTGTGGTAGCGCAGGGCGCAGATGGGCAACCCGATCGTCCGAGGAAGGAAGTGAAGCGAACAGTAATCCTCCAGAAGACGGCTGACAGACAGAACAGGTGAAAGTCCAACGGGAACAGGTAGCACACGACGAAGACCAAACACAGCACCGGGAAACATCCAACAACGATCTGACAAACACAAGACGAAAGACCATGAGCATAAAAAGAGGCCGCAGCGACCACGCCTAAACACACACACACACACAAACACAGCGCGAGAAAGAGTCAGTGAATTCATGAACTGTGACAGTGTATAGTGTGTCATCTGGACACATCCAAGTACACTGATGCCCCAGTCTATCTCTGCCATACTCCACATGCTTGCGCTTCTTCCAACAACAGAACGAATGGATCTGGAGCGTTCACTTTCATGCGTCCAGTGTTAACACGGTTAGAATGGTGCAAACCATATTCTTTTGCAAGAAGTTACAAGTTTCATCTCATCTCGTCATCATTTATCTTTAGTGTAACTCGTTATCCATGTTATATTTCATCTGTAAAAATAATAATTGCACAATAGTAAAAACATGCATTTGGCCATTAATTATTAAATGCGTTAATATGCAAAAGTCATGAATGATTGAGCTGGGCTTCTTTTTCTTCTCTCCAATAAGGTAGAAAAATAGTTGAGTATCATAAATTAAATGAAATATAAAGAGTGTATATGAGGATTTTAACTGTGATTGACAGGCCCGTTTACAGTGAGTGACTCAGATGACACCCTAAACCCTCACAGTCTTCCTTCATTAAATGAAAACTTCCACTATATATATTCACATTTGCATAATAAATTCAACATATTCATGATCAACTTTACAATATTTGTAAATATAAATACTGGGAATTACTTGGTTACTGTCACAGATTGGTTGTGTAAAACACACGAAGACAAAGGAGAATAAGAAAAATAGTCTTTAATAACAAGCTCAGGAGATAAGAGAGAAAAAACAAACTAACACGACTTAACATTGACGAGAATGAGGGAGAACACGGTATAAATACATGGAGCAAACAAAGGGAACTAATAAACTAATTAATGAACACCAGGTGAACTGAATACAATGATCAAAGGAACAAACTGGAAACTAGCTCACACAATGAAACAGAACATGCATATTACAGTTACAGTTACATGTTAAAGTCTTCTTTTACAACCCCATTTCCAGAAAAGTTGTAAAATGCAATAAAATCAAGAGTATGTGATTTGTCAATTCTCTTTAACCTTTATTTAACTGGAAAATGTACAAAGAAAATATTTACAATGTTTCCACTGACCAACTTGAGTGTATTTTGTAAATATAAACATGATGGCTGCCACACACTCCTATTGGGACAGAAGCAAAATAAAAGTGAAAAGATTATAGATTATAGATGTTATTGCATGTTATAAAATGTCCCCCAACTTTTCTGGAAATCGGGTTGTAATTCACATCTCAAAAGCATTCTATAACTTATTCGTTGTGAATAATTTGAGCAGATTGTCGATCACACGGGTTTCAGCAGACCTTCCTCCTGGCCTCCAGCTTTTGCTCGTCCGATGGCAGCATATGTCACTTTATCATCAGACTGAACCTGAGTGAGCCACACATACAGTCAACCATTATTACAACACACCGCATTGACACATGTGTCTAAGATGCTATTTAGCATTGCGTATTTAAACACCACAGTTTCAACATGTCTGCCACTTATGATGTCAGTGTTATGTAGAAATATATTCCAGCCTATTGTTAGGAGAAGTGAAAAGAAAGGCCTGATTATCTGTTAGCAAACATACACAGCAGAGAAACGGGAGAAAAGGACCAGATTCCTTTACTCACATTGGGTCTTTCAGTGCACTTGTTCCTGGAAATAATGACCTCAGCATACGCCACATCATCTGTGTTCTCCTAAACATCAACAGAAACATGTGACGTGTAGGCAATAGAGTAAATCATATCTGATTAGTTATATTTAATAAAAATAATGCTGTGTATATTTTATAACTATTGTTCAGTTAAATGATATAGTAGTGTAGATAATGTTCATTCTTCTGATCAGCTGTAGGTCAAATGTGTGTAAGTATTGTGACGATCGTCCAATGCACTCATCAGCGTTGCCCTGGAGAAAGACGCAAAACACCTGTGCTCGCTCATCATGGCTCGCTCGGCCACACCTGTCATCAATTCCCACACGGCCATATAAGCGACATGAGGCTGAACAATGAGAAGGAGCAGGCTTCTTGAAAGCTGAGAACTAATGTGTCGTCTCTTGTTCTTTTCCAGAAACTAGCGTGTGACCGAGCTAGACCAGTTACGAGCACAGGACCGATTCACCGCACCAAGGAAACCTCGAATAGAGAATACCGCCTCACCTCAAGAAAGCCGCTCTTCACTCTGCACTCTTCAACTTGCACTCTGCACTTATTCCACTTGTAAATAAACAATTAATCTGAGCTCTCCTTGTTGCGTGATACTTCCGCCCGTCACAGTGGTGGAGAATGCGGGGTTGAAAGGAAGTTCCAGTCGACAAGCGATCTCCGGATACTCACAGTATTCCCTTCCTGACGAACGGTACTCTTTCCACTCAACATGGAAGAGCTTCTCTGACAATTAACGGAGGTCAGCGTGCGCCAGCAACAGTTTGTGGAGCATTTGGCCACACGCCAGAACCAGGCTGACCAGGAAATCGCTGCTTTTCACACTGCCACCAGACAGCGCGTTCCGTTACCCGACCCACGGGTTCAGGCCACCCAGCTCCTCCCCAAAATGACCGTCCATGATGACGTCGAGGCATATTTGCAGATGTTCGAGAACACTGCTGTAACGGAAGGGTGGGAACCGGATGACTGGGCTCGCGCACTCGCCCCTCTTCTCACTGGTGAAGCCCAGCGCGCCTTCTTCAGCCTCCCCACAGCAACTGCAGAAAGGTATGAGGATGTAAAAAGGGAAATTTTGGCTAGAGTGGGGTTATCTCCAGTGTGTGCAGCCCAGTGCTTCCATGACTGGTCGTATCAGCCCCGGCGCCCCGCAAGTACTCAAGCAGCCGAACTGTCTCGTATAGCGCAACATTGGCTGATGGATGGAGAGCCCACCCCTGCCTAGGTAGTGGAACGCGTGGTCATTGACCGCCTCCTTCGGGCCTTACCCCGCTCCTACCGCCAGGCTGTGGGTATGCGAAACCCTACAACTTCATCAGAGCTAGTGGAGGCGATTGAACTAGCGGAGGCGGCCCACCGTCGTGAAGCTGGGGAGGGAGTACCACCTTTTCTCCGGAGGATGGCTCCAGAACAGCACCCACCGGAGGGCGCTTCACGACCAATAAGTAGAACGGTGGCCCCTGAGCCACAAGATGAGTCCATCCCAACAGCGCCCTCTTCCCCCAAAATTCGGGCTTGGTTGGCAGGGTGTGCAGTGCACCACGAGCTCCCCAGGGGAGCCCCAGAGACCGAGATCAAGATCAACGGCCGGCCATTCAAAGCGGTCCTCGACTCGGGCAGCGCCGTCAGCCTCGTCAGGGCGGATATTCTTCCTCCACGCAGCGAGACCAAGACGCTATTGCCTATCACCTGCGTGCACGGAGACACACGACAGGTGCCTGCTCGGCGCGTCACTATCTCCGCGGCTTCGGGGTCCTGGCCCATAGAAGTTGGGCTCATTAAAGATCTGCCCGTGTCTGTGCTGCTGGGCCGAGACTGGCCGGGCTTCGAAACCCTGCTCAGCGACGCCACACGACCTGTCCAACCCAGTAAATGGTAAATGGACTGCATTTATATAGTGCTTTCACAGACCCAATGGCCACCAAAGCGCTTTACAATTTGCCTCACATTCACCCATTCACTCACTCATTCATACACCGACGGGCGACGGCAGCCATGCAAGGCGCCATCCAGCTCGTCGGGAGCAGCTGGGGTTAGGTGTCTTGCTCATGGACACCTCGACACTTGGTCAGGTGGAACCGACGATTGAACCACCAACCTTCCGGTTTGTAGACAACCCACATGAACCACTGAGCCACTGCCGCCCAGTAGGGGTCACAGTGGGCGGCGACCAGCAAGGAATCCCCGCCGACGCCCTGTTCTCTTGGCCTCCGACAGTGGGAGAGATGGTGATTCCTCTTCCCTTTCCTCTAATCTCTTCTATGATGTTTACCAACAGGTCTCGGGGGGCGGCTCTTTTGGCCGCGCTCAGCGAGAGGACGAGCGTTTGAAACACTGCTGGACACAGGTCTGTGTGATGAATGGAGAAGACACCCGGCCAAAACCCCATCCTTGCCCCCACTTTGCCATAGAAAACGGCCTACTCTATTGTGTCGCTCAGCGGAGGGGGGAGGAAAAAAAACTGTTAGTGGTGCCGCGCTCGAAGACAGAGACGATCCTGCAATTGGCACACTCCCACCCATTGGCAGGACACCTCGGCGCAGCTAATACCATCCAACACATACGAGACCGGTTCCACTCGCCCGGCCTGGAGGCCGAAGTGAAGCAGTTCTGTCAAGCCTGTCCAGTCTGCCAGAAGACGTCACCTAAACCACCACCCCCCACACCACTCTTACCGCTGCCCATAATTGAAGTGCCCTTCGAGCGCATCGGGATGGATCTGGTAGGGCCGTTACCAAAGTCAGCCCGGGGACATGAACACATCCTCGTCGTGGTCGACTACGCCACCCCGAAGCAATTCCCCTCCGGAAAGCCACTGCGAAGAATATCGCCCACAAGCTCTTCCTACTGTTTAGCCGAGTTGGTATACCGGTGGAGATCTTGACCGATCAGGGAACACCGTTCATGTTCCGGCTAATGGCCGATCTCTGCCGCTTACTCCAAGTGAAGCAGTTGCGGACGACCGTGTACCATCCTCAGACGGACAGACTCGTCGAACGTTTCAATCAGACCCTCAAACAAATGCTGCGACGGGTGGCAGCCGAAGATAAACGGGACTGGGACCAGATGTTGCCCTACGTTCTGTCTTGGTATACGGGAAGTGCCCCAGGCGTCCACAGGCTTTATCCCCTTCGAGCTCCTCTTCGGACGACAACCTCGAGGGCTGCTCGACGTGGTTAAATAGGCGTGGGAACACCAGCAGCCCACCCCGCACCGGTCCCTAGTCGAGCACGTCGCCGAGATGAGACAACGGGTCGACCGCGTCATGCCCCTAGTCCGTGAACATCTGGTAAAAGCCCAGCAGGCTCAACAGCGCCACTATAACCGTACAGCTCAGCCCCGAGAGTTCCAAACGGGCGATCGAGTAATGCTGTTAGTCCCCACCGCAGCCTGTAAGTTCCTGGCCACTTGGCAGGGGCCGTATACAGTTGTAGAGAAAGTGGGACCTGTAACATACCGAGTACGGCAACCTGGGAGACGGAGCCCTGAGCAGCTATACCACGTAAACTTGCTGAAGAGGTGGGTGGGGACCAGAGAACAGACCGTAGCTCTTGCCACCATCGAGTCCGTTTTGGTGGATACCAACCCCAGTCTGTCGGGGGAACAAAAGGCTGAACTGGGACACCTGATTGGTCAGTTTTCGGATGTGTTCTCTACAGTCCCCGGGCAAACCAGTCTGGTACAACACGACATTATAACCCCGCCGCGGGTCATTGTAAAACAACGGCCCTACCTACCGTTTTCCAGAGGCTCGTCGGCAGGCTATCGAGGAGGAAATCCAGCAGATGTTGAAGTTGGGGGTGATCGAACCATCTCGCAGCCCGTGGTCCAGCCCAATCGTCCTGGTCCCGAAACCAGATGGCACCCTCCGCTTCTGCAACGATTTCCGCCGCCTGAATGAAGTCTCGGAGTTCGACGGATACCCAATGCCCGACGGATACGACGGATACCCGATGCAGTACTTTGTATCAAATGATTTGCTCTCTAATTCACAGCATGCTTATAAGCCAGGACACTCCACTAACACTGCATTGGTACAAATGGTAGACCAGTGGCTAGCTTTTATGGATGACAAAAAGCTTGTGGGTGCTGTGCTGCTGGATTTCACAGCAGCTTTTGATGTTATTGACCATGACATTTTACTGTCTAAGCTTAAGTGCTATGGTTTTTCACATCAGTCTGTGTCCTTGATACGCAGCTATCTCTCTGGTAGAAGTCAGCGGGTATTTTTCAATGGGAGCTTTTCTGATTGTAAGCAGTTGTTATGTGGTGTTCCTCAGGGCAGTTGTTTGGGTCCATTGTTATTTTCAGTGTTTGTGAATGATATGTCACATGCTGTTTCAAGAGCAGATGTTGTACTTTATGCAGACGATGCTACAATGTTTTATGCAGCATCTACAATAAATGACATAAGTTGCACCTTGCAGAATGAACTTAATGCCATTACAAATTGGGTGAAACTTAATAAATTAGCTCTTAATACATCTAAAACCAAATGTATAGTCTTTGGTACTAAAAATATGCTTGGCAAGCCTTGCAACTTAAATCTAATTGTTGACACATCTGTGGTAGAGCAGGTGAGTCAGACTAAACTATTGGGTGTGAAGCTGGATAGTCAGCTCTCCTGGGCTGATCAGATTGATCACATTGTGTCTAAAATGGCTAAAGGCATTGCTTTTGCCAGGAGATGTTCAGTATATTGTCCACCAGTAGTTATGAAAACAGTTGTCCAGTCTTTAGTTCTGTCACATCTGGGGTATTGCCCAGTAATTTGGTCCAGTGCTGCACAGGGACATCTGAAAAAATTACAAATCGTTCAGAATAGAGCCGCAAGAGTAGCACTTGGTTGCTCTTTTCGCTCTAGTGTGGATAAAATGCACACCTGTTTGGGCTGGCTAAAGGTGGAGGACAAACTTAATATAAGTCTTCTCAGTTATATGCACAATGCTCTATTTAAAAACAATCCAAAATTTTTTGTAGATAAATTGTTTTTTAGTGGGTATTGTCACAGACATGTTACGCGTCAGGTGAGCTCAGGTGTGTTAGTGGTTCCATCTGCAAGGTCCAATTGTATGGCAAGAACAGTATTAGTTAGATCGTCATCTGCTTGGAATAAATTGGATTTAAAAACAAGGCATATATCCAACATATGTAATTTTAAGAAGACTTTAAAACAGATTACAATTAATAGTATTACATCAGTTAATTTGTGACTGTTTATGGGTACTGATATTGTCAAATGTTGTATGAGTATGAATGTGTGTATGTGGATAAATGTATACATGTGTTAATGTTATATGAATGTTATATTTATGCATGTTATATTTGTGCATTTTAATTGTACATATATGTTTCAGTACTTTTATGGGCCCCAGGAAGACTAGCAACCACATTGTGGAAGCTAATGGGGATCCAAATAAATAAACAAAATAAACAAATAAACAATGCCCCGGGTGGATGAACTCCTACACCGCCTGGGAAAGGCCCGGTATATTTCCACCCTGGACCTGATGAAGGGTTATTGGCAGGTACCCCTCTCCGAAAACGCCAAACCGAAAACCGCCTTCTCAACTCCAACTGGCCACTGGCAATATCGGACCCTTCCCTTCGGGCTTCACGGGGCACCGGCCACGTTCCAGAGGCTGATGGACATCATCCTTCGGCCACACCAGCAGTACGCAGCAGCATACATCGATGATGTAGTCATTCATTCGGAGCATTGGGAGGACCACCTAGACCATCTACGGAGGGTGCTTACGGATCTTCGAAGGGTTGGACTCACCGCCAACCCTCGCAAATGTCACCTGGCCCTCTTCGAGGCAAAGTACCTGGGCTTCCAGGTTGGACGGGGCCTCATTAAGCCACAGGAGAAAAAGGTGGAGGCCGTCCGCGCCGCCCAAAGGCCCGGAACGAAGACCCAGGTGCGGGCTTTCCTGGGCTTAGCAGGATATTATCGCTGCTTCATCCCCAACTTCTCCTCGTTAGCCGCCTCCTACCTGCTCGGCTGTAAGTTCACCCTCCTCACAGACCACGCACCCCTTCAGTGGATGGCCAAGGATACCAACGCCAGAGTGACGCGGTGGTTCCTTGCGCTCCAGGACTTCTGCTTCATCGTCCGCCACCGAGCCGGATCTTCCAACGCCAATGCAGACGGACTCTCGCGGATTTGGTCAGCCTTTTCAGGTCTGTCAGGGGTCACTCCCCACCCACCCCCAGTTTCCCCCTTGTTGCTTCCGTATGTTTCCACCAGGACCAGGACAACGCTTAGGAGGGGGGAGTGTGACGATCGTCCTATGCACTCATCAGCGTTGCCCTGGAGAAAGACACGAAACACCTGTGCTCGCTCATCATGGCTCGCTCGGGCACAGCTGTCATCAATTCCCACACGGCCATATAAGCGACATGAGGCTGAACAACGAGGAGGAACAGGCTTCTTGAAAGCTGAGAACTAATGTGCTGTCTCTTGTTCTTTTCCAGAAACCAGCGTGTGACCGAGCTAGACCAGTTACGAGCACAGCACCGATTCACTGTACCAAGGAAACCTCGAATAGAGAATACCGCCTCACCTCAAGAAAGCCGCTCTTCACTCTGCACTTATTCCACTTGTAAATAAACAATTAATCTGAGCTCTCCTTGTCGCTTGATACTTCCGCCCGTCACAGTGTGAATCTATGAGCTGTGATGATTAGTGTTGTTCACTAACATGGACATCAGCAGCTGGAGGGGTCACCGGGGTCAATCTGCTGATCACTGCCTTATCTGCCAAAAATACAGTAAAAACAGTGAAATATTATTCCAGTGTAAATCAGCTGTTTTCTATGTGAATATATACTGTAGTAAAGTGTAATTTATTCCTGTGATCAAAGCTGAATTTTCAGCATCATTACTCCAGTCTTCAGTGTCACATGATTCTTCAGAAATCACTCACTTTTGATCAATTTAATGCATTCTTGCTGAATAAAAGTATTAATTTTCTTAAAAGAAAATAGTGTCCTAAGCAGTAAACTGGCGAATTCCAACCGTCTCATTACTCTGCATTTTACAAATATTTGGGATGTGAAAGAAACAATCTAATTTGAGATATACGTGAAATTATGTATGGAAATGACTCGAGGGAAGATTTGTTTTAGTTTTTTAACTAAACTTATGCGAGAATGCGTTTTTTAGGGATGGTGTCATTACGCACACTATTTTATCTGTAATCGGCCAACTGGATGGAAACAGCCAGACAGCAATTTTCACAAACTTTTTTTAACGCATATTCACTTTGTCAATAACAAAACAGCGCAAAAAGTGGATGGAAACTTGTCATGATTGAAAACTCACCGGCTCTTTTTTTACAGATGAACCAAAGAGCAATAAGAGCCAGGAGAGCCAGGAGAGGCAGGAGAGCCGCTACAGCAGTTACAGCAGGACTCACTTCAGGAGAGACCACATGAGGACAGTCAAACACTCGACACACACTCAAACATTTAACCACATTTCACAGATTTACAGTGGGACTCTTCTTTCAAGCCCTTATAGCGATAAACCAAAGATGTCTTTGTGTGTCATTCGAGGTGGGAGAGAAATCTGTATGAGTCAAATGTTATTCAATTCTGTGAATATGACAATATTACTACTTAATTAGGTATTTATGTTGACTATCAGTCATCAGCAATAATCTTATATTAATTATAAGGACTGCGAAGTAAAAACTGAAGTGAGGTGGAGCACCTTGAGTTGTCGTTTGTGTTGCTGGAGTTGGAGTTGTGTCGGTGTTTCAGGTCAGGTTGTGTTAAGAGGAAAAACAGCAGTAGTTAGTTTAAACACACCATGTAGTAAACTCAGCTCACACTCCACACTTCTGCCGTTTAAAGGGTTATTTATTTATTAGATTTTTTCAAGTTCAAAGCCATCTGCACATTATGACACACACCCTGAAGTTGTTCACTTTGGCTGTTATTTTGGAGGATTTCATCATGACATAATTTAGGAAGGAAAATTAAAGGATCAATTGAGGTTAAGATATCATGTGGACAGTGGGCAGAAACTTTTATTTTAACTAGAAATTTTATTCCCAAATGTATTTTTTATTTTTATTTTTTATCTTAGTCGCATATTAGTCTAAACCGTATTTGTTTTCTTACCCAAGTACGTGACAGTATATCTGACTGAGGTCTGGACTTTAGTTCCTTTAGTAATCGCACATCTCCACTCTGTGTTGTCGTCTTCATTGAGGAGTGTTGTAGTCAGAGAACTGTTACAGTGTTCAGGAGAGAATGAGATCTGATATCTGGAGTCTGACTGCAGATCCACATCAGCCTCATTCTTCCAGACCAGTTTAATTCCCTCATTATAGAAGAGGTCAACACAACTATATCCATCATGTACATACAACTGACAGGAGAGAGAGAACGAGCGTCCAGGTCTAATCTCAGTCTGTGTGGATGATGGAGAGACTGAAACAGAAATCACACAACAGACATTTATTCCAGTAAACATGCGAGTTTAAAGAGAGAATTATGTTATTTTATCATATAATGAACAGAAACACTGACCACGAAGAACATGCAGATTAACACTGTCATCAGTGTGTCTCTGTGTATTCACATATTGCCTACAGGTGTAACGTCCATGATCTTCAGTTGTGGCGTTATAGATGTTCAGAGAGCAGTCAGACCCCAGACTCAGCCTCTCACGTCTCTCTGTATCATTATTCTTCATCCCTTCTTTAAATAATACAACTGTCACTAAACGGATTCTATTATACATCCATGTAGTTGATGTGCAGCCAGTAAGAGCATTGACACAGGGCAGACTGACGCTCTCACCATCACTGCTGAACACATGGAGATGTGTGTCTCCACTGGTGCCTGAGACAGAGTAGATGTGTGTTAATATAGGGCTTTATATTAAATATTTACATTATCAGTGATTTAAAATGATCCTCACTCACTATTTTGGCATAATCTATTCCCTATAGTCTATATATATAGCCTACTGATGTGAAGTACATTTTCTGAGCTGTCTTTTATTTCTTTTGATTTAAATGTATAGTAATATTTACATGGCTCTGTCATTTTCTAAAGAGGATTGGTTACATCAGTGTCATTTTCTTCAGTTTGAAATTCTTACATAAACTTTATATATACTGAATTATTTGATTATCAGTGTAAAACAATGTTTTGTAAGAATAATACAGCATGAACTAAAAACACACTATCACATTCTTTGGAATGTTAGTAAGGATATAAAGAACTTTTCAACTTCCGCTTTACATTTGATTCTAACTAATTAAACTAAACAAAATCTTTAAAAAAACCAGAAGAAACATGTTGTCAGTTCCACAGATGTGTTGTACAGGTTCGCTTACCTGTGAGCAGCGAGCAGAGAATCATCAGTCCCAGCATGTCTAGATGACACTCTTCATCCATCTGTCTCGGTCAGTCTTCCTCTTTCCATCTTCATAGACTATAGTGACTCTCCGGCCCGTCCTCTGTGTGGAAACTTCCTGTGATATGTGGTAAAACATTGTGATGCAATAAAGATACTGTCGCATTCAACTACTCTGTCTTTTTGTGGGTTGTTATATGCCACTGACTTCTGAAATAGACATAAAGCCATGTCTGTGTCACCATGTGGTGAAAAGCCACCAAACTGCATATACAGGCTATTTAAATTTAGTGCAGTGGTTGACAAAGTTTCCTAGAATGCCAATTGACGTTAAATGTTGTTTTTATGTATTGTGAGGTTTGTTTATTCTCCTGTGCTCCTTCTCCTGTGAATAAGTCTAGTAATAGAAAAGTGTCGAGGTGTCGAGGACCAAGTGTCGAGGTGTCCATGAGCAAGACACCTAACCCCAGCTGCTCCCGACGAGCTGGATGGCGCCTTGCATGGCTGCCGTCGCCCGTCGGTGTATGAATGAGAGAGTGAATGGGTGAATGTGAGGCAAATTGTAAAGCGCTTTGGTGGCCATTGGGTCTGTGAAAGCGCTATATAAATGCAGTCCATTTACCATTTAATACTACAATAATGGACTTATTCTAGTATAATTTCCCGTTTGTGTGTGTTGCGTACCACTCAGCGAGACAGAACACGAACCCACAAAATGTGGAAATAAGTAGAAAGGTGGACTTGCCGTTCAGGTCTTCTCTGATTAGAACAACGGAGCGTTCCCTCGAGGGATTTCTTGGATCTGGCGTGCCTTAATGAGCGGTACAAAACGATCCTGCTTGTAGAAGGTCCTCGGGGAGCTTTGCCGCATTCATCGAGTGGGTGCTGTTTAATTGTGGATCCCTTTGCACAGTCTGCTCAGCAGATGAGGAAACACAACAGAGCCCAGCCAAACATCAGCCACGGCCATCACGGATTACCAGCCAGAACCCACTGCAGAACCCACACCCGCCACAAACCCGTGTCCTCCGCATCTCATTGAGGTACGGGAACTGCTCAGCCCAGGATCGTAAAGCCCTACAGACAGCGGTGCGCTCATCCGAGCGTATAGAACCGCTCTCCCTTCTCTGCACATTAATGCCAATTACCTGATGTTGTTACTCACCATCTTTCTGCGTGGGATGTAGCACCAGGTCAACACATCCAGGTTTACAACTTGCTCAATTCACTTTCCGAAAAAAGCTGCCTTATGATGTTAAAGTCTAACTTCACGGATTTTCAACCCTCTTTTTATTGTTACAAACATTGCAAATGTACAATGTTTACTTTTTCTCTGTGTTACCTGAACCGTGAAATACACATTCATTTATTAACTTTTGACAGCGCCAGGGCTTTCATGAAAACTTTCTCCTTCTGCATTCTTGTTTCCCCGCCCACGGACAGTTGGATCGGCAGAGGGTTGTTAACAGAACTGTTATTGTAGTGGTAGGTTTATCACTGGAAATTGTATGGACCTTGTCTACTCAACAGCATAATAGTAAAAATGGAATACTATGGCAACAGCTTTCTTACCTGTACACGCCATTTTGTTTCAGGGTGTTCTTAAAATATTTTTGGAACAGAAAAGGTCCCTCCCCAAACTGCTGCAACTATGACAGAAGCAGGAATTCTCTAGAATGTCATTGTATGTTCTAGCATTAAGAATTTACACTGGAATTATTGGAATATCAAAACTCATTAGTAAGAACGGGGTGCCCACATACCTTTGGCCCTGTAGTGTACCTGTTGGTGCCTGTAGTATCGATGCCAAATTACCTCACATGACAACTATTTGCTGGCTGTTGAGGTGTCTAATAAGAAAAGTGCTTAGGTAAATGTTATATTTTTTGTATGCATAGTTATGTGCATATACCAGTTCTTCAAGAAATGCATTATTTGCATTAGCTAGCAATTTTGTCTTGTCAAGTCAAGTCACCTTTATTTATATACAGATTGTTTCAAAGCAGCTTTACAGTGATAACAGGAAAATAATGCAACAAAGTTTGTTTCAGCTATACAACAGCTCTAGAAGAAAATAGTGTCATAGTCCAGCTAAAGTTTAGTGTTGATTAATGTCTGCTGTGAAAAATTATTAATTTAGTTCATTTATGATTAAAGCACCAAGTGGCCTTCATCGCCCAGCACCAAGTGGCCTTCGTAGCCCAGCACCAAGTGACCTTCGTCACTCAGCACCAAGTGGCCTTCGTAGCCCAGCACCAAGTGGCCTTCGTAGCCCAGCACCAAGTGACCTTCGTCGCCCAGCACCAAGTGGCCTTCGTCACTCAGCACCAAGTGGCCTTCGTCGCCCAGCACCAAGTGGCCTTTGTCACTCAGCACCAAGTGGCCTTCGTCGCCCAGCAACAAGTGGCCTTCGTCGCCCAGCACCAAGTGGCCTTCGTAGCCCAGCACCAAGCGACCTTCGTCGCCCAGCACCAAGTGGCCTTCATCACTCAGCACCAAGCGGCCTTCGTCGCCCAGCACCAAGTGGCCTTCGTCACTCAGCACCAAGTGGCCTTCGTCGCCCAGCAACAAGTGGCCTTCGTCACTCAGCACCAAGTGGCCTTCGTCGCCCAGCACCAAGTGGCCTTTGTCACTCAGCACCAAGTGGCCTTCGTCGCCCAGCAACAAGTGGCCTTCGTCGCCCAGCACCAAGTGGCCTTCGTAGCCCAGCACCAAGCGACCTTCGTCGCCCAGCACCAAGTGGCCTTCATCACTCAGCACCAAGCGGCCTTCGTCGCCCAGCACCAAGTGGCCTTCGTCACTCAGCACCAAGTGGCCTTCGTCGCCCAGCAACAAGTGGCCTTCGTCGCCCAGCACCAAGTGGCCTTCGTAGCCCAGCACCAAGTGACCTTCGTAGCCCAGCACCAAGTGACCTTCGTCGCCCAGCACCAAGTGGCCTTCGTAGCCCAGCACCAAGTGACCTTCGTCACTCAGCACCAAGTGGCCTTCGTAGCCCAGCACCAAGTGGCCTTCGTAGCCCAGCACCAAGTGGCCTTCGTAGCCCAGCACCAAGTGGCCTTCGTCGCCCAGCACCAAGTGGCCTTCGTAGCCCAGCACCAAGTGGCCTTCGTAGCCCAGTACCAAGTGGCCTTTGTAGCCCAGCACCAAGTGACCTTCGTCACTCAGCACCAAGTGGCCTTCGTAGCCCAGCACCAAGTGGCCTTCGTCGCCCAGCACCAAGTGGCCTTCGTCGCCCAGCACCAAGTGGCCTTCGTCGGCCAGCACCAAGTGGCCTTCGTCTCCCAGCACCAAGTGGCCTTCGTCGCCCAGCACCAAGTGGCCTTCGTCATTCAGCACCAAGTGGCCTTCGTCACTCAGCACCAAGTGGCCTTCATCACTCAGCACCAAGTGGCCTTTGTCACCCAGCACCAAGTGGCCTTTTTTGCTCAGCACCAAGTGGCCTTTGTCGCCCAGCACCAAGTGGCCTTTTTTGCTCAGCACCAAGTGGCCTTCGTCGCCCAGCACCAAGTGGCCTTTTTTGCTCAGCACCAAGTGGCCTTCGTAGCCTAGCACCAAGTGGCCTTCGTCTCCCAGCACCAAGTGGCCTTCGTAGCCCAGAACCAAGTGGCCTTCGTAGCCCAGCACCAAGTGGCCTTCGTCGCCCAGCACCAAGTGGCCTTCGTCTCCCAGCACCAAGTGGCCTCCGTAGCCCAGTACCAAGTGGCCTTCGTAGCCCAGCACCAAGTGGCCTTCGTCGCCCAGCACCAAGTGGCCTTCGTCTCCCAACACCAAGTGGCCTTTGTCACTCAGCACCAAGTGGCCTTCGTTGCCTAGCACCAAGTGGCCTTTGTCACTCAGCACCAAGTGGCCTTCGTAGCCCAGCACCAAGTGGCCTTTGTCACTCAGCACCAAGTGGCCTTCGTAGCCCAGCACCAAGTGGCCTTTGTCACTCAGCACCAAGTGGCCTTCGTAGCCCAGCACCAAGTGGCCTTTTTCACTCAGCACCAAGTGGCCTTCGTTGCCTAGCACCAAGTGGCCTTCGTAGCCCAGCACCAAGTGGCCTTTGTCACTCAGCACCAAGTGGCCTTCGTTGCCTAGCACCAAGTGGCCTTCGTAGCCCAGCACCAAGTGGCCTTTGTCACTCAGCACCAAGTGGCCTTCGTTGCCTAGCACCAAGTGGCCTTCGTAGCCCAGCACCAAGTGGCCTTTGTCACTCAGCACCAAGTGGCCTTCGTTGCCCAGCACCAAGTGGCCTTTGTCACTCAGCACCAAGTGGCCTTCGTTGCCTAGCACCAAGTGGCCTTCGTTGCCTAGCACCAAGTGGCCTTCGTAGCCCAGCACCAAGTGGCCTTTGTCACTCAGCACCAAGTGGCCTTCGTTGCCTAGCGCCATCGGATCCAACTCACCACCAGGTGGTGACCATTTGACAGCTCAGTCCCTCTTTACCCGAGTGTCCATGACATACGGCCGGAGGTCGGATGAAACGACCACAAAGTCATCCATCGACCTCTGGCCTAGGGTGTCCTGGTGCCACGTGCACTGATGGACACCCTTATGCTTGAACATGGTGTTCGTTATGGACAAGCTGTGCAAACTAGCACAGAAGTCCAATAACAGAACACCGCTCGGGTTCAGATCAGGGGGGCCGTTCCTCCCAATCACACCCCTCCAGGTTTCACTGTCGCTGCCCACGTGGGGGTTGAAGTCCCCCAGTAGAACAAGCACTTTCCAGCACCCCTTCAAGAGACTCCAAGAGGGCCGGGTACTCTGCACTGCCGTTCGGCCAGTAGGCACACACGACAGTGAGAGACCTATCCCCGACCCGAAGGCGCAGGGAAGCGACCCTCTTGTTCAACGGGGTGAACTTTAACACATAGTGGCTGAGCTGGGGGGCTATGACCAAATCCACACCAGCACGCAACCTCTCACCATGAGGAACTCCAGAGTGGTAAAGAGTCCATCCTCTCTCAAGGAGTGTGGTTCTAGAGCCCAAGCCATGCGTGGAGGTGATCCAGACTATCTTTAGTCAACCTTACCCACAATCTCAGGCTCCTTCCTCGTCAGCGAGGTGAAGTTCCATGTCCCTAAAGCTAGTTTCTGTGTCCAGGGATCGGGTTGTCGAGGCCCCCACCTA